CGCTGCTGCTGCTGCTGCTGCTGCTGGCCTCCTGCCTCTTGCTGCTGCTTCCGAATAATACTTTCGAGCCCCTTCGTCTGAAGAATAGCCGCCGCACTCGTACTCAGTGCCCTCAGTGGTCCAGCCGGACTCCGCTTCGGAGAGCTCGGAGGCGGCGCCGTCGACTTCGAGGGAATCTTCGGAATCTTCGGCTTCCGGAGCCGCCGCGGGCTCGTATTTTTCCTCAATTACTATTTCTTTGCGTTTCTCCTTCTGTTTGGCGTTCCAAAGACGCGCGACTTCCCCGGAAAGCCCCACTGACACGCCCGCCGCCGCCGCGCGCCGCTTCTCCCGCGCCGCCTTCCCGGACTTGCCCGATTTCCCCGATTTCGACCCCGATTTCCTCCTTTTTGGCTTATTCTCTTCAACGTCTTCCTTTTTCGACTTCATATTCAGCTTTCCGAAGAAAGAAAACGCCCGGGGCTCGGCCTTGGGCGCGGGCGCGGGCGCGGGCGGGCGCGCGGCCGCCGGGTGTCTGCGCAGCCCCAGCGGAAGTGCAAAAACTGGCCACGGTTTTAACTCTTTACTTTTTCCTTTTTGCTTTTTCTTCTTCTTTCCTTCAGAGCCTTGAGAAGAGTGTCCGGAGAGCTGCGTGGGTCCAGTTTCCTGCGTCAGCGCCGCGCCGCGCGCTTCCGCCGCTGCCGCTGCGTCTGCATCTGCAGCCGCTGCTGCTGCTGCTGCTGCTGCTGCTGCTGCGCCTTCCGGCCGCCCCTCCAGGCTCAGCAGCTCCTCCGAGCTCGAGCTGCCCTCCGCCGCGTCGCCTTCGCCCTGCAGCCCCAGCAGCAGCTCCTTCAGCGCCGCGGGGTGCAGCGCGCTGCTGCTGCTGCTGCTGCCCGTGCGCTGCTGCAGCGCAGCAGCAGCAACAAACGCCAGCAGCAGCACCCACGCAGCAACTTTCTTAAAACCACCTCCAGACCGCTTTCCCTGCCCCCTCAAAAACGTTGAAGTGTCCAGCAGAGCCACGTGGCTTTGAATCGAAACGGACGACTCTGCGTCTCCAGCCCCTGCTTCCGCCTCTGCTGCTGCTGCTGCTGCTTTTGCTGCTGCTGCTGCTGCTGCTGCGGGAGAAGCTGAGCCCTGCGGCCCCCCAGCCGAAGGAGGCGCCGCCCGCGCCGCCCCCGGACCCTGCATTGCCTTCCTGCTGCTGCTCCTACTGCTGCTCCTGCTGCTGATCTTGCTGCTGCTCCTGCTGCTCCTGCTGCTCCTGCTGCAGCTGCTGGTGCGGCTGCAGCAGCGGCTGTGGGAAAGTCGGCAGCAGCAGCAGCAGCAGCAGCGGCAGCTGCTTTCCGGCGGTGACGCTCCGCGGAGAAAGCTTTGGCTGCTGCTACAGCTGTGCAGCAGCGGCTGCAGCTACTTCTGCTGAGACAACTACCTCACGCCGCCGGCTGCTGCCGCTGCAGCTGCTGCTGCTGCTGCTGCATCAAGCCAGAGTGCAACAACCCTGCTGCGGAAGCTGCTTCAGACGGGCCATCGAGACCCCTTATCCCCACAGAAACTGCAGCAAACCCTAAACCCTAAAAAGGTGAACTAAAGCACCAACTTGGCGCGGAAGAAGCTGGAAAGTGCAGACACTGCAGCGCAGCTGCCTCGGCGGGCAGCGGAAAGCAGCGGCAAAAACCAAATTGTTTGCGCGAAAGCGCCTCAAATTTGCAAAAATAAAACAAATAATAATGAAATGAAAAGATTAAAATGGATTATTAAGGGGAAAATATAACCAAGTCGGAGAAGAATAAAAGTTGAATTCCTACGGGAGCAGAGCCAGCTGCGCCCGGAGTCAGCAGCCCTGAGCGACAGAGGCGATTCGCAGCACTATGCGCCGCAAATTGCTTCTTTTAGCGCCAGTTTGGAAGGATTTAATAAATTAAAAAGAATTAAAAGACTAAAAACAGCAAAAAAAATGCAGAATGCCCGCCAGAGTCCTGAATCGCGCAATGAACACCAGCACAGCCCCCCTGCTGCTCCTGCTGCTGCAGGAAGCGCGCAGGCATGCACACTCAAAAAGAAGCCAATTAATTTCGTCTTTGCGAAAATTTGAAATTCAAATTTAATTCAATAATTTCAAATTGGCCTTTTGCGCATTTTGAGGCCTCAAAGCCAGCAGCGGCGCTCCCCAGGCTCGACATGCACTGGAAACCCATCGAGTGTGCCGCACCTGTTGAATTCCAACTATTAATTGTAATAATATTCATTTATTTTTATTATTTATTTGCAATTTAAACTCCCAAAGACTCTTTTAGAAAGCAACTTCCCCAGTGCAGCGCTGCGCCGCCGCCAGCGCCAGCAGCCGTCGTCTATGTTTCCTTCTAAGACCCGGCAGCGAATTTTCCCCCAAATTCCTCAATTTAAATATCAAAAGAACTTTATTTTTTATTTTTAATTATTTATATTTCATTTAAAAGGGCTTTTAGCCACTCTAAATGTCCTTTTCCCTCCTCCCCGCTCTCTGCACACTCGGGCGGTGCTTCTGGAGCTTCCCGCGGCCCCAGCGGCTCCTTGTGGGACTCTAGCCCGCCCTAACACCAAACCCTAAACCGTAAACCCTAAACCCTAAACCCTAAACCCTAGGGGCTCTTCTCAGAGGCGCTGCCCTGCTGCTGGCGGGGGCACCGCAGAGCCCCCAAGTGACCCTGGGGCTCTTCGCTGCTGCTGCGGAGCTGTTCGTTTTGCTGCTGCATTTTGAGGCTGAGTCAGTCCAGAAGCTGCTGCTGCTGCTGCTCTACTGCTGCTGCTGCTGCTCTAAAGGCTGCTGCTGCTGCTCTACTGCTTCTGCTGCTGCTCTAAAGGCTGCTGCTGCTGCTCTAAAGGCTGCTGCTGCTGCTCCAGGAGCTGCAGCAGCAGCAGCAGCTAGAGCAGCAGCAGCTGCTGCTGATTCCTTCTAAAACCCTTTGCTTCCTCAGCCCCTGCTGCTGCTAATGGTTTTTCCCAGTTTATGGCCCTTAAAGGCTTTATAGGAAATCGAAGTTAGCAGCAAAAGGCAGCACTTGCATGCATGCACTTGCATGCAACTTGAAACCGTTTGTTCGCATACATAAATAATTGAACAAAGACACAAATATATTTGCATGCATCTCTAAAATATATTTATATATAATAATTAAATGTGTTCAGAGAAGGAGAAAGAGAAAAAATGAAAGAAAGATGCAAGGAGGCCGGTGGCCGCGGCTTCTTGTTTTCTCCTCAAAAGAAACTTTCTATATAGTGCTTTTTAATTTATTTTCATCATGAGAGCCTTTTGGAGTGTAACTACAGCGCGTTGAGGTCTCGGAAGAAGTGCTTTCTGCCTTTTTACCCTTAAGAGAAGCCGGGGTTTCCCAGAAAGGGAAAAAGAAAGAAAAGGGCCTCCGGGGCCCCTAGGCGGAGGCTGGGGCCCCTTAAGAGCTACCGGAATTGGTATTATGTCCGCAGCTTTCTTTAATTTTGCAAAAGAGCATATTTGGACAAAGGTGTCTTCTCCAGCTTTCTTTCTGGTTGGCGGCCGATCTGCCTGTGATCCGCCGCGTACTTCGAATTTCTTTGCAGCATTTATTCTTTAATGACTATTTTTGATTCAAATCAACAAAAAGAAAAGCAGGATCGGGGCAAAAGCGCTGAAACATTCAAAACCCGGAGCCGGTCCGGAGTGGCTGCTTCCTGGTTCCCCGGCGCGCCGGCTCAATTTTCCCGCAGAGTGGGCGAAAGCGGCTTTATTTTGATTTTAAATAATGTTAATTTAATTAAAATTTGAATTCTTTTCCCTTTTAACGCACATTGAGCGGGCGGGCGCGCAGAGCCGAAGCAGCAGCAGCAGCAGCAGCAGCAGCAGCAGCCGCTGCCACGAATCTTCAGCACCGCAGGACCAGCTCCCCGTTTAAGGGTTTTTTCTGTTTGAATTTCAGCAGCTTTCATTGTTTAAAAGCCTTTTATAATTTGCAAAACAACGTAAAGTCCTTTTTCTCTCCCGGAGGGCCGGCAGTTCCTTGGCAGCGCAGGCATTCTTCGCTTGGCGACACCAGTGGGCTTCGTGGGCTCGTCTCTGTGCCCATTTTCTTTTCCTTTCTTTCAAATTTATTTATTTTGAATATCTTTTCCCTTTTGCTTTTCAGGATTTGCGCGGATCTCCCTTTCTCGGGGGTCCGGGGCAGCCGCTGCTCCCGCTCGTTCTTGAATTTCGCCATTTCGTCCTTCCCGCAGGTGCAATGAGTCCATTAAACCCTTCTTTTTCCCCTTTTTTTGCTGCAGCAGCAACTATTACCCTTTTTTCGGGCTTTTCCCTCGCGTATCCGGTCCCAGAGGGGCCCCCCGAGGTGGCTGTCATGGCGGAGGGGGGGCCCCCCGTGGCCACTGTGGGTTTCCACGAGCCAGAGGGCCACTACGGCTCTGCTGCGTATCCCCCTTCTCCAGTGTACCCCAGAGACACTTTAGCTCTGTACCCTCCCCCGATTTCGGGGCCCCCCGGGGGCCCCTACTTGGGGCCCCCGGGGGGCCCCCCGGGGCCCGTGGGGGGCTA